CTAGAGATGACTGTCAGGCCCCCCTGCCCAATTTATCAGTAAAAATAAATGTAAATGTATTTTATTGGTTCAGTTGTTTCACTGTTTAAAGTTAGCATATATGGAGTTGACCAGGGAATGAGCAAACCATTTTTAAGATCGCTCCCAGCATTTTAGCATTTACACCGTTTGGTATTCTTCGAAGGGACAGGAGGAGCTGGCATGCCCATCATCAGGGACCGACCCTGTGTCTTTCTGATGTGCTGGACTATAAGGCTTATCATCCCCATGCATTATGGTTGATGCATGTACTCCCTGGAGATCAGGGAAACCCGTTGTCCAACACATCTGGAGGCTCCCAAATTCAGGAAGGCTGCTTTAAAAGAGGGAAGATACCTCTTCTAAAAATGAGGCTGTCCCTGGGTGGATTTTGAAAAAACTTAGGACAATTTCGTGCTACACATCTATTATTACTACCCACCTTTCTCCCAATATAGGGACTCAAGGTGCTCTGACTCCACTATAACCACCATTGCTGCATCCTATGCAATCCCAGGATTTGTATGTTTGGGGAAGCACTAGAGCTCTCTGGCTGACAATTCTAAATGCCCCTTCAGGAACTGCAGATCCCAGGATTACATAGGATGCAGCCATGGCTGTTAGTGTGGATTCATACCACTGTAATTGTGTAGTGCAGTGGGGGGGGGGAGTACGGCTTTATGCATCCCTCCCAAGACATTATTGGGGCCTCCTATGGGTTGAAAAATGGGTTTTGCCCCAGAATGTTCTCTGCGATGCAATTTCTTCACTTTGAAGGGTGGCTAGGCCTAAAATGGCCCCCAGGGAGAGGGGCTAAAGCCATGGTGAAAATAACCGCCCAACAGCCACGGAGGGAATTGTGGGGCAAAAAGTGTTTTGTGTGTATGTGCCATGGGGAAGCATCCCCCCAAGTCCACAAGGGCTAATATGACCGACCCCCTAACCTCCCACAAAAAGGGCCAGCATGGTGTTAATGGATTGAGAGACCAGAGTGTTAGACTTGTCCCACATCATCTGATGGGTTTTTGCAGCCAAGATTCGAACCTTGGTCTCCCAGCACCCTAATCTGCCACCCAAACCACTATACAACACTGGGTGTCTTAATAATAATAATAATAATTTATTTATTTATATTTTGCCTTTAGCCAAGGCTATCCAGGCGGCTTACAGTTTAAAATACAATCCCATACAAATAAACATATCACCCCCCCCCCTTAAAAGTATATTAAATCAATAACACATTAAGATTAACTTAAAAACAGTGAACAAATTAATACAACAAAACAGGCACTCTGAGTATACAAGAAATGGTCTGATGGGATAATCTAATGGAGATCTGATAAATTATCTAATGATATATCCAATAGTATATCTGATAGCGGGGGAGATTAATTCACTCCTATCCTGTCTTTTCATCAGTAATGGGAACCAAGGCGGCTTGCCATTTATTAAAGCCATCAGAGGTGATAAACTATACCGAAACATCAATTTAAAAGTATAAATACAATAGCTCTTTGAAAAACAGCCACAGTCATCCCTCCATATCCATGGACTTTTTCTTCAATCTACGGATTCAAGCATCCATGTTTTGAAAATGTTTCCAAAAAGTTCCAAAAAAGCAAGCCTTGGTTTTGTTATTTCATATAAGAGACACCATTTTACTGTGGGACTTGAGCATCCAGAGATTTTGGTATCCATGGCGGGGGGTGGTGGTGTTTCTTGGAACCAAATCCCGTTGGATACCAAGGCCCAACTGTAGTCTCTAGTAATAGTAAAAACTATTAAAATTCATTTTAAAGCAAGGCTGATCCTTCCCGCTGCTTTCCGAGCGGTGCTGTACTAATCGGCATTTAGCCATTAGGAGGCAATGATTATTAGCGGCATTGATCCTTTGCCACACCGCATCCTGACCCGTGGTTTTCTTCTTTCCAGGTGGCGCACTGAACTTCGTTAATCCAAGCCTCACGGTGCACAAAACGACCTCGTCCGCCGTAGACCGCCAGCGCGAGTATCTCCTGGATATGATCCCCCCGCGATCGATCTCGCAGTCGGCCACGTGGAAATAATACGGGAACATCCGCCTTGAGTGGAAGACATCTCCCTCCTCCCTCTGTTTTATTAGTTCATCTTTTTTTTTGTTTGAAATCCCGCCCCGCCCCAGCCTCATGCCAGGACTCCCCAAAAATCTCCACGCGGTGTGGAAACCCTGCTTTTCAAGCCTAGCTGGATCTACCCGTAGGAGATACAGAAAAGCTTTGCTTTCGCGCCCGGATTGGGAAACGCTTCCCCAGCAAGGCGGAACGGACACTCAGAAGGGTGGTAATGAACGTTAGGCTACCAAATTCTTGTGACTTCTCTCTCTTTTATTTTTTGGTGGATTTTTTTTTTCCTGACGGACATGGCCGTCTCTCAGTTTTATTATTATAATAATTATTATTATTTCTTTGTGTATTTTGTGTCTTTAGTTGGGGGTTTAACGTTTTATGATCAGCACTAGTACAGAACAAAGAACTGGGCAAAACCCGTGCCCGCTCCGTTGTTTTTGGTCTGCCCCTTTCCCTTTCCGGCCTTACAGTTCCTTTTTTTAAAGCTCCTTTTTAGGTTAATTTTTCCTCCTCTTTCTTTTGGCTGTGGTTGGACAATGTTCGCCAGCAATCCAGGACTTATAGTTGCTGTTTTTTCCTGCTCAAGAAAGCCAGGACTCAAAG